AACCTTAAAATCCATCTTTTGTGAAATTCACTGAAAAATACACAGAGTAGGGGATTTGAGCAATGTCAGTTGAGTAGCAGAGGCATTGCTCTTCCTGCTGGCTTATACCCTGGATGGGGTCTCAACACAGTATATGGAAGGAGGAAGCTGATGAGGAGGGAGACACAGCAATTCCAGATCAGGGGAGCTAGTCTCATTATGAGCCGGCTCTACAAGACTGCCAAGCCTTTGAAAGTGATGAGTATTTTAGACAGTATAGACTGCCACAGATAGAGTGACATCCAAGGGCCACTGCACACACAGCATGACCTTGGTGGTGGTGGTAGGGTGGAACCAATTTGATGTCATTGAGTTGGGCCAGAATTGAAAACGTATGCATCTCATGGCACCTTGAGAAGAGGTCTTTCCTGAAAAAGCCTTAGTATCTTCCTCTGCAAAAATGGGACTGCAACTTCAGTAGTATTATTACTACTGAATACCTCAATTATTTTATTTTGTAGATATAATAGGTTTGTTGCCCAATGTATATGGCAAGTAATATGCTGAGACACCAGGTTGCAGCAGAGAGAGAAGTTTAATTGCAGGGCCACCGAATGAGGAAATGGGAAGAAACCTCAAATCTATCGTTCTGAGTTGTTTAGGGATAGGGTTTTTAAGGGTTTTGAAGTTGGCTGAAGTGTGGCGATAGATCATTGATTGGTTCAAGGGTGCAGGATGAAGATACCATATTTTCATCCTGATTTGAGTCCTCTTTGGGGGTCTTTAAACTGGTTGGCATCAGCTGTTCTGCTGGAATTCAGAATCTGCTTAAGCAGTTTTTAAATAAAATCCTTACAGTTTTTAACATCAGAAATCAAAAGTATACGAACAATCGTGACACAAATGGTTGGTATCTAGTGTTACGTGACTTCTGGTTACAAGGAAGGGGTCAGGGTGCAGCCTGGCTGACGCTTAATTATAACTATATTTCTGTCCAGAATTCTTGTTAACCCTGTGAGGACAGTTTCAAAAGGCTTTGAAAAACATAGGCACATTTTACTTTTTATTATTAATTAGTTGGGGAAAAATTCCATCTTTGATGTCTTACATTATTGATTTCTTTGGGTTCAAGAGCTAAAGACTTCCAAATGTGAATGTAAACCTGTTAAAATCTCAGCCCAAATGCTTTGCTCCGTTAGCCTTATAGGGTTCTATCAGTTGGCCCCTGGGGCCCAGAGGGTGTTAGTAGAGGTAGGAATGGAGGAAAGTGGCTCCAGACCTTAATGGTAGGAGCCAGGGGGCACTGAGATCCTAGCTGTGGGCTTTAAGTGAGATGAACCCAAGCACCTACTTCACCATCTTGCTTTGCTACAACCCTCAAGGCGCAACTCTTACCCAAAATCACAGGTCTAAAAATAAATGGAGTAAGCAGCTGCTTCTCACTACCAGGCTCCTGTTTGATTCCACATTTGTCTGTTTGTTTCACTGGCTTTTAGGCAGAGAGCATTCTGTAAAATATTAGGAATAGAAAGATGGAGCACCGAAAATGCAAAGGCACAGGATATAAATCAGAACCACAGTTTCCTTGGTGTTACTCTTGTTTCCTTGTCAGTGATGTGGATTCTCAGGCATATTCTCAGAGGCTTCAGAAAGCCCTTCTTAAGGACTTTGAACCTTAATGAATAGCCAACCCTCCATCAGCTGGATCCTGGTTACCAAGAAATGGAAACTAGGCCAAAAATGTACACACTGCCCACGTGCAAAATCCTAAACAAAACAGAGAAGCCGGCAACAAAGGATAAGTTACCCTCATGGGCTCATTTTTTTCTAAATACTCCTTAGTTTAAGAATCATTCTTGTTATTAATTGCTTAAACAGGATTTTCAAATTTATATAAACATGAGTTAATATTGACTGGACAAGACTTAGAATTTTTTTCCCATTTAATTAAGAAGCAAAAATATCAGGATAATTATTAAATCAGTGGAAAGGTCAGAGGATTTAAGAACTTAATTCATCTGAATATCTCCCCTTTAGGAGCTCATTCTTGAAGTTATCTTTTACAAACATCTCAAGAGATATTTTCCTTTGCAAAAGTCGTTTCTTTTCATATTACTGAAATCTGTTGTTTCGAGTCTTGATGAGAAGACCTCAGAAAGTCAGAATCACTGAGAGGTTGCCTGGCTCCTTATTAATAAAATTTTGGGGGATGTATTGGCACATTCCAATTTTCTTATTAATTTGGGACGAGTCCAAACTATTTGAGTATGTCAACAAAGAAGAAATGAGATATTAAAAAAAGAAAGATAAAAGATATAAGGTATTTTGTATGCCCAGAAACAGCGCTAAGATATTTCCATTTACCGACATCAACAGCTTCCAATTCTAACAGTGTCAGAAAGGGAATTTCAACGGCTGCCTTGAAAGAACCGACATTTTACACCATAATGAAATCTGTTTTAGTGTGTCACTAACATCAGATGAGATGAGATGAGACAGCACAGCACAGCACAACCGGTATAGCACAGCACAACACAGCACACTGCTTCTTCCATTTAAAGCATGCACTTCAGCCTAAAATGCAGACTTCCGAGTCCATTAACCCACTTGAGATGAGCAGGGAGACTGCATGCCGGGTGAGCAATACCAAGGAAAAGCAACTATGAGTTCGTTCTTGGGAATGGAATTATCTGATCAGTACGCTGCCAGCAATGTTTTGGAAATGTCCAGACTACCAATAGAAAAGAAAAATAAACTAAACGAAAAGAAACTAAAATGTTAGTGTGTGTTTACAAGTAAATCATGGTTGTTTCGACAAAAAGCTGTTGGCTGGGACTGAGGGGCTCACTGGGACTGAGGGGCTCGCCGGTACCTCTTCACAGATCTTGAGGATGTTGCAGGAAAAAGCGAGAGGGTGTTGCTTGGGAGCTGCTCACCTCTGTCCTAATACAGGGCACCGGATCGTGTTCCAATGGCAGACGGTGTGGGAGGCCATTAAAGTTCCTAGTTCTGCAGTCAGACAGCTGGTGTTGCATCCTCTGCCAACACCGTGCCTGGAAAGTGACATAACCTCTGCGAGTCTCAGTTTCTTCCTCTTTAACATGGAGATGACAGTACATACTTCACAGGTTTGTTACATGCATGAAATGATGTATGTATAAAACAGTACTGTCGGCTGGGCGCGGTGGCTCACGCCTGTAATCCCAGCACTTTGGGAGGCCGAGGCGGGTGGATCACGAGGTCAAGAGATCGAGACCATCCTGGTCAACATGGTGAAACCCCGTCTCTACTAAAAATAAAAAAAAAAAAAAAAATTAGCTGGGCATCATGGCGCATGCCTGTAGTCCCAGCTTCTCAGGAGGCTGAGGCAGGAGAGTTACCTGAACCCAGGAGGCGGAGGTTGCGGTGAGCCGAGATCACGCCATTGCACTCCAGCCTGGGTAACAAGAGTGAAACTCCGTCTCAAAAAAACAAAAACGAAACAAAAAACAGTACTGTCTGTTGTTTATGATAATTATGATTCTAACTATTACAGTGATTATCCTTCTAATAATTTGACAGGAATTACAGCCTCTTTCCAAGTGAATTATGAAGAGCAAGCGTGGATAATGTGGAAGCTCATTCCAGCTAATGAGGAGTGCATGAATATCACATTCATTTTAGTCTAACCTTTTGGCCACAAGCTATTTCTGGACAAATATGAAGCATTATCCTGAAGTTGGTTGTAGTTTCCCACAGGAACACTATTATAATTTAGTTCCACAAATATGAATTAAGTACAGTGATGCCCCAGGCATTGTGCCAGGGCCAGGCACGTTATAAGGAAGTACAAGATGCTGCTTCCGGCTCAAGGATTCACAACCAAATGAGAAGAGGAGGCCCAGAAACTAGGAACCTTCATACAAGTAAGATTCTGGTGAGTGGGATCAAGTTAGGAGGCCAAGGATGGTTCTGAGGTCAGTCTGCCTGGGTTTAAATCCCAGCTCCACCTCTGATAACGTGTGTTTTTCTAACATTTCTGCATCTTGTTTTCCTTTGTGAAATTGGGATTAATAAAATTATCTTCGTTTGTGAGGTACTGGGAGGATTGAGTGAGGTGATCTCTGTAGTGTTTAGAATCCTGGTTTGTCACATGGTAAACCCTCACAATGTGGTGATCTCCATAGTGTTTAGAATCCTGGTTTGTCACGTGGTAAACCCTCGCAATGCTAGATCAACCACTTCTATTCAGTTGGAGCTCAGAGATAATGCTAATATATTTTAATGAGGGGAATAAGGAAACTAGTTAGATTTTATTTTTTCTAAGTCAGGAATGGTAAGATCTTGATTAGTGGAAGAAAAGAGCAAAAACGGAAAGAGAAAGAGAGAGGGAGGAAGAAAGGATAGGAAAAAAATAATCTGTAGAGAGAATTGCTCAGAATGCAGAGTATTCTGCCTATTGAGGGAACAACAAATAATGTTTAACTAGTGAAAGAGCTCCAACTGGACTAGAGGGGAGGGGCAGCAGGGCAGTTTGGGTCAGAGTACAGAGCCCTCCTTCAATGTGTGCCCCAAAGCTGCTTTCCTGTCCAAGGATTCAACCTCAGTGAAGGAGACATTTACGCTGGTTAAAGGAAAGATAACACAACCATAAGCCTATTATTTCAGATGCTAAGATAAGCTGAGCACAGTGGCTCACACCTGTAATCCTGGCACTCTGGGAAGCCAAGGCAGGAGGATTGCTTGAGCCAGGAGTTCAAGACCAGCCTGGACAATGTAGTGAGACCCATCTCTACACATTGTTTTTTTTTTAATTAGCCAGACATGGTGGTCTGTGCCTATAGTTCCAGCTACTTGGGGGGTTGAGGTGGGAAGATTGCTTGAGACCAGGAGGCTAAAACTGCAATGAGCTGTGATTGCACCACTGCACTCCAGCCTTGGGCAACAGAGTGAGATCCTGTCTGGAAAAAAAAATGCTAAAATTCAGTACCAAATCTTATATATAACATGGATATAGTTCTACCATAAGATGACCTCAAATTTTATGATGTACCAAACAGGCAAAACAGCAGCAAGTAGAACAGGATGCAGAAGGAGGTCACCGCCCTGACACCCAGTGCCGTGAAGATCAAGATCATCACACCCTCAAGAGTGCAAGTACTCTGTGTGGATTGGAGGCTCCATCCTGGCCTCACTGTACACCTTCCAGCAGACGTGGATTAGCGAGCAGGAGTACCAAGTCAGGCTCCTCCATCAACTACTGCAAATGCTTCTAAATGGACTGTGAGCAGATGCATAGCATTTGCTGTATGGGTTAACTCAGAAGCATAAATTTGCCCCTGGCAAATGCGTAGACTTCATGCTAGCCTCACAAAATAGGAATAAGCCTTTGAAAATAAATTGTCCTTGAAGCCTGTATCTGATGTCAGAACTGGACTGTAGAATGTGTTGCTGATTTTGACCTTGTATTGAAGGTAACTGTTCCTTTTGGTATTTGTACATATCTTTGATTTCAACTCTTACTACGTGTGGGTTGGTCACTTCGTGGCTGAGGTAGGAACGTGCATATGGAAGACAAGTCTGTGGTTTGGTGGGTCTATGTGGCCAGCAGCCTCCAATCTGGGCAGGGTATTAATGTGTCAGGGCTGAGTACTCTGGGATTCTCTAGAGGTTGGCAAGGGCTCCTGAACCAGTGGTTTTTGTCCTGCCAAGCTGTCAGGGTTGGAAAATCCAAGCCTTAGGACCCAGTTTCCTCTCTTAGCTGATGCTTTCCTGCCAGAACACCATGGGCTGTTACTTGCCGTGAGCTGGAAGCAGTTTGCATTCACACCTGCAAATGTATTCATCCTTTTGACTTATGTAAGGCTTTTTGTACACAATACTCAATTCTTTTTTTTTTTTTTTTTTTTTTTTGAGATGGAGTCTCACTCTGTCACCCAGGCTGGGGTGCAGTGGTACAATCTTGGCTCACTGGAACCTCTCCCTCCCAGGTTCAAGTGATTCTCCTGCCTCAGCCTCCCAAGTAGCTGGGATTACAGGTGCCTGCCGCCACACCCAGCTAATTATTGTATTTTTAATAGAGATGAGGTATCACCATCTTGGCCAGGCTGGTCTTGAACTCCTGACTTTGTGATCCACCTGCCTCAGCCTCCCAAAGTCCTAGGATTACAAACGTGAGCCACCGCACCCAGCAGTTCTCAATTCTTTAAAGAGATGAGAACAAGTTCTTGTTTCCTACTATTATGTGAGAACATTATGCCCCAGCAACACATCACTGTGTAAGGAAAAAATAAAAGTGCTGCTATAAAAAAAGCGTGTTTAAAACATGATTATTGATTTAATTTATTTAACTGCTACAGGTGGATTCACATTATTTTTGTTTGTCTTAATCTTGGTAGATTGTATTTTTCAAGAAATTGATCTATTTTATTTAAGTCATCAAACTTGCAGGCATAGAGTTGTTTATAATATTTCTTCATTATTATTTTAATGCCCATAGAATCAGTAGTGGTTTTCCTGTTATTTTTATAATAAAAGACATAGAGGAAGAGGATTTTCCATTTTAAATGATAATAAAGTAGCAGTCAGTCAATCAACAAATGTTTACTTAGAACCTATAATAGACCAGGTATTGCTTTAGGAATGGCAGTGAACAAAATAAATGTCCCTGTTCTGAGTGAGCCACCTTTATTCTATTGGGAGAGAGAGAGTAACGAATTTCAATATATTGAATAAGTAAAGTTTGACAGAATTGAGATCTTCCCTATATCTCATGCTGTAATAATCCATCTACACATCCCATTTCAAACTTAGGACAACTCTGTGAAGTGCCTACTGAACAGATAACAAAACTGAACTCGAGGAAATGAGCGTCAAAGCCACTAATGCGGTAAAGCCAAACTTTCAACCAAATGTGATTTCAGAGCTCTGACCCAGAAAGTTCTGCTGCCCACGTCAGCTACTCAGATGTTAACGTTCTGTGCTTTAAATTACAGAGTGACACATATCTGAGACAGGCCTCTTCAAGTCTTCCTTATAAATGAGAAACTGAAGACTTTTCCAACAGAAATACTTCCGACTTCTCCAGAAGCTTTAATTTTGCCTAATAAGGTGTGAATTGATGGGATCTATTATTTAGAATGAGTCGCGCACTGGGAGCACCCTCAGCAAATCCTCTGAAATTGATAAAAATATGAGCTCTAACGGGACAGAGAGCATTCATTTGTTACACCCTTCCAAAGTTCTCTGTTATTTTCTGTGACATTTCCCAAATCACCTAGAAATTCAAGCTGTTAGAAAAGTTTCTCTGATCAGTCATCTCCAGAGGCTCATCAAACTGAGAATTGTGTATATATATATATATTTTTTATATATATATTTTTTTTAATCTATGTGGCACTTGCCACAGATGGAACCTTTGGAAGATGATATTGTTGGTGTCTAGCCTTAGGTTAAGATCAACACTTGATGGGTGATTTTAATATTAATAAAAACAGCTAGCTTAATGTTAAGCCTTTGTTTTTTAAAAGACCAAAGAGAAGAGAAATAGCATAAGTACACTTGGGAGTGTGATCACCAAGTATACTTTAAATGTGAAAATTCAGTGAAAACTCTACTTTCAAATTTTATTCTTAATATCCATTACTCAGATTTATACTTTGTCACTATGTGCTTATAATCATATCTGATTTCATGTTGGTGTAGATATCTTCACAAACATCTAATACACACATAGTTTTTTGTTTTTTGTTTTTAATTATGTGTATGTGTTGGCTGGGTGCAGTGGCTCACACCTGTAATCCTAGCACTCTGGGAGGCTGAGGTGGGTGGATTGCCTGAGTTCAGGAATTTAAAACCAAAACTGGGCAACATGGTAAAAACCCATCTCTTCTAAAATACAAAAAATTAGCTAGGAGTGGTGGCATGTGCCCGTAGTCCCAGTTTCTTGGGAGGCTGAGGCAGAAGAATTGCTTGAACCCAGGAGGCGGAGGTGGCAGTGAGCTGAGATCTCGCCACTGCACTCTAGCCTGGGTGACAGAGCAAGACTCTGTCTCCAAAAAAGGAAAATAAAAATATTGTGTGTTTTATTTCAATTTTTTTCCCCTTTAGGTTTACAAAAAAATAATATTGCCTCAGATGACCACTTCTTTATTGTTCTTTATAAAACAAATAAAGAAACATCAACATTGTTAAAGAACACCCAGTGAAATAGATAGCTAACAACTTTCTGAAAACTCTTACTAATCCCAAGAACTAGATTACAGCCTGATTAGCTTGTCTGTGGGCTGGTTCCAGTTTCCAGACTTAATATTATACTGGTGGGAGCAGCAGTACTGGTTTCTAGAGATTGCCGATTTATAAAGCATTATATAACATTGCTGTTACACTGTTCACATGGGTTTGGGAAAACGGGGAAAGCATCATTAGTTATCTTCCAGATTCCCACCACAGTTTTTCCTATAGCTTTTCCTTATCCCTTTTGGTTCCTTATAGGTAAAATGGAATGGCGGGCCAGGTGTGTTTCTGAGAGTTCCATTGTATCTGAAGATGACACTTGATTCCTGAGAATGGATTGTGTTCTTTGTTGACATCTGGAAAATCGCTTTCTTCATTATAGGACGGGAGCATGGTTAAGGACACAGTCTGAAGCCAGACAGCCAGGTGCCATCCCAGCTGTGCCACATATGAGCTGCATAATTGCAAGGAAGTCACTTAAAATATTTTAGTGTCCTAACCTGTAAATGGGCATATGGTATTACTTATATCTGGACCCTTGGAAATATTGCATAAATATTAGCTTATTATTAATGGTAGCACTTATTCCCAACACATGGGTTGTACTGTGTTTTTATATTCCTGCTCTAGCTGATAGAAAAGTCAGTTGGGTTTGTAATTTTGACTTCCTCTATTAACATTTCTAAAGCCAGTTCATCCAAATGCTTCGGCATGTGTTTTTTTAAAGGAGATCATGAAGGAGCCAATATTTAGAACATTGGTTTGATATTGCGATTGATTTCAGAAAATGTTTTGAGTCCTGCAATGGAAGTCAAGTTTAAAAAAAAGACACTCAACAAACATCAGGATTTGTGAAAACCAGGACCATATCTCCAGAACACTTTTGAAGCTTTTTTCCACTCACTCAGGAAAAGACATACCAAGTTCAATGGTTTCTAGTCAGGTAATTTAAGCTAAAAGAACGTGATTTCTCCCAAAGAAATATGGTGAAGACATATAGTCTGTACTCATATAGAAAGTACCAAGGGATCCATTGTAGAGATTGCTTTTCAAGAGCTGAGTGAGGTGAGTTTAGAAAGTATGGATTTGAATTGCCTGGTCAATCTCATGCCCTCTAAGTGGCTGCATAAGCACAAATTAGGAAAGCAGCATTATCCAGGACAGATAGACTCCATTCCAAATGAATGCTTAACTGTTAGATTCATCCAAACGAAACTTCCCTCTAGTTCCCTTTGTCTTGGTTTATGCTTTGACATTTCCAAAAGCATCAGTGCTAAAATCTCTCTGCCATACAATTAGCTATGATATCTGCTCTTCTAGTCCCAAGAGTAATTTCTAGACAAAGCATTACAATGGAGATATGCATGCAATGCAAGGTACAGGAATGTACTGTGATGATTTTCTACCTGTGAAAACTATGTGCTCCGTGTGAAACTGTACTTTCCGTTTTGGCATGAGAGATACTGAAATATGGTTGGGTTACAAGTTAAACAGTAAAAGTTTGGCCACTCCGTATTATCAGTAAAGGGTAACACCAGCTTTTCATGGCTCACACCATTGGTGGGAGAATAGAATAACCTCTTCAATAAAGTGTAAGGTTATACAAAGTAAATCTCAAGCCAGATTTGTTCATTGGATATTTACTATATGAGGCAGGCATTGCCCTGGGAGCTGGTGCATATGAGCAAGATGGGGTCCCTGCCCTGGACGGGTGCAGGAGAAACATTCTGAAGGAATGTAGGAATGTGAAATGCATCCTGGTAGATGTCAGTGCATCATTTAAAGTTCCTAATAACCCCGAGGAAAAGAAAGGCTAAACAACAAGCCCAACATGACAGGTGACAGTGGTAGACAAGAGATAAGACTGAGTTCAGTAATAATGAGTATTAAATACAAATCAGAGATAATAAGGGCTACAATTCAGGTACATTACATCTATCTGGGGAAATGAATTCTAGGCTGTGCATTAATGAGAAGATGGGACTTTATTTGGTCTCTGTGGGATGTAAACAATGAAAAAGGAGAGTATGTGCATGAGGGAGGAGAGATTGAGGGGGTGGAGAGAGAGAAAAAGGAGAATTGCAGATGGCTGGTAAAGAACAAAAGATTTCAGAGGTAGGAAAGGCCTCATTGCATCCAGAGGATGTTGAGTGGACACAGCTGGAGCCCTGGGTTGGCGTGAGGCAAAAAACCTGGAGATGCATCTTGTGGCTGGGAGATTAAGGTCCTTGGAGAAATAAGCCTTCAGAAGGTTTTGTAGAGGGTAGTTTTTGGAGATGACTTCCCGGGAAAGAAGTGAATTTAGGACATGAGAAAGTGTGGGTCTGAACTGCCTGATCTGATCTTTCCTCTGGAAGTGGAAGAGTGGTTTAGGATGATTAACTTGTGTGCATGATAGATTAGAAGTGGCAGCGGAGGGGGCACAGTTATCAGTCCATGGCGTAAGTCCAGATGAGAAGAGAAAATGTTCTGGGAAAGGTTGGCTGGTGGTGATAGCTAATTGTGTACCCCTCCATCCATCATCCCCTTCCTTCACAGGAATGGAAACCTAATCTTCCAGTGGGCACAGTTCCAGCTACCTCTAAAGCATCGTGGTTTTTACACTCCTTGCAATTGGATGTGGCACATGGCTGAGTTCTCTCGGGGGAGATATAAGAAATATATATGGACTTCCAGAATAGAATGGGCTCCCTCTTTTCATTGCCTTCCTCCTGGCTTGGAAGGGCTATATGATAGCTGGAGATCTGCCTGCTCTCCTGGACCACAAAGTGCCCCAAAGATGGCAAATGTGTGAGGATGGTGGTTTAGAAAGGAAGGGAGGACACAGCTCCTGATCACTTCCAGGGCTGCCACAGCAGTTCTGGATGCCTAATCAGGATTTTTTTTTTAAGGGAAAGATGACTAAATGTTTATCTTTTGGGGGCCCCATTACTTAGGGTTTTCTATGTTAAGAAACCAGACTTGACCCCAGCTAAAAAATTAAGTAACAGAAGATGAAGTACTGGTAAATACAACAATTATTCATTGTGTTAGTTGGAGAAGTGACGGGTTGTTTCAGCCACAGCTTCTATTTTGTTCACGTGGCCTCCTTGACATTTCAAAGCATGGGAGAGGAAGCAGATTCCTAGTTGTGCTCATGTAACTTAGAAAGCATGATTAAGCTCACGCTGCTCAGAGGCATCCTGGGAGGAGGTACTTGTGAGTGCTTATGCTCAGGGTAAGAGATGACTTTCCTAAGGTCTGTATGTATTAGGTCTCTTTTTCACATTACTGTGTTCTTCTCCTTCCCCTCCCCATTCAGATAATTCCTCTGCTTCTGTGACTCTCATACATTTTTGGCATCTTATGACAATATAGACTAATACTGCAGATTCCTTTTGAAAGAAAATACAGACGGGGGTCCTGCTATGTTACCGAAGCTGGTCTCACCCCCCTGGCCTCAAGTGATCCTCAAGCATTTTTACTTTTTCTAGCCCCAAATCACAAGGAATCCTTTAACAAGACCAAAGTCAGCGACGGCTGCAAAACATCTCCTGACGGTTGTCTATTGTGGCAAAAGGATTTATTCTAAGGGTTTTTATCTAGATCATATATAGGGAGATGTGGCTAAAGCAGTATGCCATTATTAACAGCATGAAGAATTTTTATCGATGAACAAGAGACTTGGCAAGAACTTAAGTAGGTGTGACTCAGAGATGTTGGTCTCATTAATGGGAAAGGCAGAAAATTGTATAACGACGCCATTTGGTCTAGATATGTTGGATTTCAGATGATGGCAACATATTCTTATGGAAATGTCTAGTATAATTGTAGAACCAGACAATGTAAGCATTGCAGGAGACCAGTCCACCAGTGGTCATCTTGTCCATGCTTGTACACCTACATATTGCAAGAAACTCATAAATCAGCACATCCTTTTATTTGTCAGGGAAGCTTTGGTAGCTGTTTCTGTTTCTCCTGACCCAATTTCCCTAAACTCAGTTAATGGGCACAGGGTGGACATGTGACCAAGACTGGTCCACTTAGATGATTCTTTCTTTCCTTTTTCCCTTTCTTTCTTTCTTTTCTTTTCTTCTCTCTCTCTCTCTTTCTCTCTTTCTTTTGAGACAGAGTTTCAGTCTTGTTGTCCACACTGGAATGCATTGGCTTCATCTTGGCTCACTGCAACCTCCACCTCCTGGGTTCAAGTGATTCTCCTGCCTCAGCCTCCCAAGTAGCTGGGATTACAGGCACCACCATGTCCAGCTAACTTTTTTGGATTTTTAGTAGACACGGGGTTTCTCCATATTGGTCAGGCTGTTCTCAAAGTCCTGACCTCAGGTGATCTGCCTGCCTTGGCCACCCAAAGTGCTGGGATTACAGGCATGAACCATTGCACCTGCGCAGATTCTTTCTCAGAAATTTGGAATTCAGACTGACAGCCAGCATGCCAGTTTCTTTAAAAACATAGCGTGGCCATATCCTACCCTGGGGACTGGAAGCAAAAGACAGAGTAACATCGATTTAAAAAAAAAATCCTCTGGAAAGTTTTGCTATTTCTGATTCTTGCACCTTCCTGAGGCTCAGCAGAACCCATTCTTTGTGGTACATGGAATATCCCTCTTTTCTCATAATAAAACCTTTATTGCTCCATATCCTTTTTTCTCATAATAAAACCTTTGTTGCTCAAGGTACTTCAAATTGGTTTCACTTAATCTGCCAGCAAATGGTCTTTACAAAGAACACACAGAATATGAACATTACAATGATCTGAGCACCTATTAGGGGTCACAAAGAACCTTAGCTGAAACACATCGGACAGAACATGGGGGCATTTTTCCAAGTCACACGTGCACCCAAGACTCACTTATCCTCTTTGCATACTGCGTCTAGCTGACTACCAAAGCCTTGGAAAGGTGCCAACCTACCAGTGAAAGTGTTTCTCAGTACTTCTCATCTACTTTGACATGATGCACTACTAAATATGGGTAGGTTTGGATGTAATAACCTGGTAATTTGGTTGTGAGGAATTACCAAATCGGAAAAGGGACAGCTTACACTAAGAACAGGGTAACTAGGCAACAGCTAAACTATGGAGGATTTCTCAGGGAAAACACAGTGCTCCTCATCGATCTGGCAGCAAACAAATTCCACGTGTTTCACGTTTCTCCTATGGGTTACCATGTGTATTAGACTGTTCTCATGCTGCTTGTAAAGAAATACCTGAGACTGGGCAATGTATAAAGAAAAGAGGTTTAATTGACTCACAGTTCTGCAGGGCTAGGGAGGCCTCAGGAAACTTACAATTATGGTAGAAGGGGAAGCAAACATTTCTTCACAGGATAGCAGAAAGGAGAAGAATGAGAGCGTAGCCAAGGTGGAAACCCCCTATAAAACCATCAGATTTCATGAGAACTTACTCACCTTCATGAGAATAGCAGCATGGGGGCCATTGCCTCCATGATTCAACCACCTTATACTGCATCTGTCCCATGACACATGGGGATTATGGGAATTATAATTCAAGATGAGATTTGGTTGAGGACACAGCCAGCGCATATCCCCATGTATGTATAATTGGGTTCTCTTAGTCATTCAAGATGTTGCTTTTGGACATGGAAGGCTTTATGGTTACAAATTTGGGAATGAAACATCAATATAGAAACAGGGAAGCAAAGCAGCTTAGATTTTAGAATGACTTCAACTTTGTTCTCTGCTTTCTGTAAATCAGTCGACGAAAGAACATCTAAAATCTTAGAGACAGATAGGATTCAAAATGTTTCATGATTCATACTATGCTTAAAATGTTAGCTGACTACCAAAAGCTGCAGTACATATCAGGCTTTGAAGCACCCCGCTCTCCTTGCCTGATCCATACTTCCTTTTTTCCCAAGGGTAAAAGATAAGGAAGGAGTAGTATTCATACATTATGTTGGATTTGTAAGGTTCTGTAGCCAGAAGC